ACTATATATGTTTATATTTATTTATTTATTTAAACACATAAACATTGGTACAAGAAGGCACCAAACAGAAATGTGCCACATAAAACATTCGATTTATGTGATGGCTGGGATACTGTCCTCACAACCAAACCGAAGCAGGTGACTTTCTTAGGGGCCCACACCCCGATCTTTTAACCTAAGGGTCTGATCCGCAAACCAGTGAAACAACGTCAGGAGATGCAATCCCATGGTAGCCAATGACCAACAATGGGTTTCCTTAGGATCCTGGAGCTCATGTACACCATTGGTTTGGAATCAGGGTTTTCCAACTCCCTTAGGTGGATCCTTTGTGTCCATCAACCCTGTTAAAGTGTCGGACATTAGCTTTTCGTCCTTTCAATTTCGTAAACAACACTCCCGCCACGTGATGGCAGTGAGTAAGACTTCTCTGACAGTGGTTGTATGCACGTGGTCACTTGAGAGCATTACGAGAGGGTGAGCGGACTCTCCCCACTCTCTGCCATACAAGATCGTTTTGGGAAACTATATATATATATATATATATATATATATAATTGTAAATAAATAAATAAACAAATAAATAAAACTATCATATTCGTAAAATACTTAATCATCTACACTAATTAAGATAATTTTGAAAAACACAGAAAAACTAAATATTAAAACAATTTAATTCATTTCATTTGAGTTCGATGTGACTAGACAATAAACAATGTGAAAAGTTGAAATGATTTCAGCAGTAATAACAAAGTCATTATATATATATATATATATATATATATATATATGCAGTTATCCATTATGTTATAAATATACATAGGTATTAATTTATCAATTGTATTTGTCTAATTAAAGGTTAAATGCTGTTTTTTCGTTGTTGTCGGTCGAACTGAGAGAAAAAAATAACAATAAACCTCATGGTTACAAAATATTTCGACGATTATTTATGGAATTTAAATTCATATAGAAAGAAGAGAAAAATATATATATATATATAAGAAAAGAAATGGAGTTGTGATGAGGAATAAAGAATATTTCTCTAAAAGTTAAAATTAAGAAAAAATTGTTTATAGTTAGTCATATGAAAAATGTTTGTCATTTAATTTGTATCCAAAATAAGATAAATTGATGCCTAGTAACATTTCAGTTATATTGATAGACTTACAATAGTCGTTTTGCTAAAATAGTATTTTTTGTTGTCAAGTGGCAAAGTATTATTAACTAGACATTTCACTTTTGACCTTTAAATACTATTTAACAGAATCAGTGATATTTTTTTATGATCTATGAAGTAAAATAATAAAAGTGTTGTAAGGAATTTTATGACTTTCATAATTCATATCATGGATCAATCTTAACTAGATAACTATTTTAAACCAATGAGCAGTGATAGGACATTTTGTCATAGTATAGAATTCTTAAACAATGCCTACTCACAACCTTGTTACAGATGATCGAATCGACTACTTTCGGTTTCACTGAGATCACTTAACCTTTAGACCTGTATATATGTCTAACTTCAATCAGTTCATGACATTATGTAATCATTTTCTGTCTTTCATGGTTGATGACTGTCTCAAAACAAACTTGGTTGAACTGAAATAGTCACAACTTCTCATAGTCTACATCATCCATTATTGCTAATTAGACAACTGTCGAATATTATAACGAATCTTTTTCGCTATGCTATCCGATCCCAATAATCGGCGTTTTTATGAACCGATATCCGGTTTCTATCTGATTTCAGTAGGTTTCTTTCAAATACCACCATCATTAAACGATGGAATGGAGTGGTAAGTGATTAATCATAATATAAGTCACATGCAATCTTTAAACTTTAGTTTTTCGACTTTACAAACTGATATATGATTATTTCTACAGAAACTAGGTTTACCCTCATAATTACTCTAATACTTGCAAAGCTCTAATAAAAAACGCTTTAAAGTCTCTCATCATTGTATGTTTGTGTTTCAGTCATGTTTCATGAAAATCCTCCATACGTACACCAGAAAGTTGCTGACAACAGACTAAACTATCTCTAGCTGATAAATATATGAGTATTTGGTTTAGTTTTACCCTCTTAGGATAGAACAAGTATTTTAGTGAAAAGTTGCGAAACTATCTAGATCACAGTCAATGAAGAGATTTTACTACCACTTATTATTATTATTATTATGACCAAAGTAATCCTGATTGCAAAAATTCATAACAGGTGAAATTCAGATATGTTATAATTGTAATGCATGAATTGTGGACCATGGATGTCATGATTACCATACTTGCTTGGACCATTTGTATTCACTTCCGTGGAGTTACACACTAGGGTATAACAAATTTGCAATTCTCTATAGTTTTCAATAATCCTTCAGAAAACATTTAGCCTATGACGCGTACTAATTTTTATGATACCTTTGTCATGACACATTTCGTTCACAGTGACTGGTGTTCAAAATTAAAGAAACTATATATTTCAATTTCTTATTTGTATTGATAATATTTATTTCAAGAACTTCAACCCTTATTATTAATTACCATAAAGCATTTAAGTAACACAATTTTAAGAGAACATCTTAGACAATAATTATATGAGTGGATCTATAGTTCTAAGAGATTTTTTAAACAAGCCTGGTAATATTCTTTAGCTCCCTACTATAAAACAGTAATGCTGGGTCATCTTTTATAGCAACTATCGATTAAATCATCAGTGAAGCTAAGTTACAAAAATGTTCTTTGTTTGTATAGAAAACTATTTGATCTATCTCTTATTTAAAAAATGAGGGTAAGAAGCATCCGGTAAGTGACTACATAGAAGATCAAGTTTACCGATAGGATGAAATCTTTAAACGAATACTTAAGAGATATATTAAAATAAAGTCTTCTTTAATCTAGATGATATAGACTTTGAACTGAGCAAATCTACTTAATTATTCATGCTTAGAGATAATTAATTTCGTATATGAGTATTTTTTTTAATCTTTAGAAATTTACAGAAAACAAAACATTAAAATGTTTGAGCATAGTACACTTTAGTGTACTTCATAAGATGGTCATGTATAATTATACAATTTAATGCAACCTAAGCAACAACGCTTTTTGTTCTATGTATTTTATTATCACTTCATTTCATTACTTATGTAATGCTTCTTTCTATTGAAAAACAATTTTTTGTGCTAGAAATAATTCTTAAATAAATGTTTGAGAAGAAATATTATGTTTAAGTGGTTGAAATCATGAGTCAAATAAAGTTAGACCGTCATGGAAAACCTGGAAGCACCGGACGGCTGTTTCGTCCTATTGTGGGACTCCTCAGCAGTGTGTAATCACGGTCCCGCCTCGCGAAATTCGAATCCAGGACCTATCGGTTTCGCGCACGAATGCTTAACCTCGAGATCACTGAACTGGCCGGCATCCAATGGTTATAATATCTAACTTCGACAAATCCATAAAACGGCTGTTCAGTGCTTCCAGGTTTTCCATGATGGCCTAACTTCAATTGACTCATGATTTCAACTATTAAAATTACTATAATATCCACAAAAATCCCTTCAAATATAATGTCATTGATAACTTAACCCGTAAATAAGTGAAAACAAGCTGTGAAATATTGTGGTGGAATAGCTATTTAAGTTAGTAGTCAACGAGAGAATATTTTGCCCACATAAATAACTAACAATTAGTTAATAATACTAAGAATTAGTCGAGAAGTTGTAAATCCTTATCAACTGAGGTGGCTGAAAGATTTTTTTTAAGGATGACCGGACACTTTATGTCACTCTATTCCTACTAGGATAGCAGTGATTTGAAATAAATGCTAGGGATAGTCATAGCATGATACAGAAGCAGTATATAAAGTCGAATTATTTAGGATTCTGTTTTGATAATCTGAAACGTAGATTTCTTATCAAAATGGAATGAGTTATTCAGTACTTCTGATAGTATTTTGTGTTTAAATGGTCACGTTGTTATTCCACCTTCGTAACGTAAATCTGTTCTTGAAGATCATCATAGTGGACATTTGGGTGTTCAGAAAAAAATCCTTGGCAAAGCTCACATGCCGGCGACCGGAGATAAATTTGTCTACTTCTTAATGTCAATCGAATTTTTCATTATTTTCACGTAGATGTAGCATCACTGACTGATAAGCCCTACATCATTTATGTTAGACTGATAATTTCCATCTATCCAATGATGAAACAATCTTATATAACAACATATTATACATATAGTTTGGTCAGTACATTCATAGTAAATTTATTTTCATATCCCATTAGGTATTCTCATTCTGATTAAATTACTTTTTATTATTAACTTAATCGTTCTTAGAATAAATTTCCTCTAAGAACCAATGTATCATATATGTTGTATGTGTTATAACTTGTGGCCTGCGTGCCCTGTTAAGGTATTGCGTAGTGATACCGCCAATTAGAGAACAGCGAATTATCGATCGGAACAATGACGCACAAAACAAGTACGAGCAGTCTAGAGTGCTTATCAATTCTGTTTCCCGCCTAGCCCAGCCTAATGAGTCAAGAACACCAACCTCAGCCTCTGCAATATGAATTATTATATTTCAAACATACTAGGTTTGTATACCAATCAGACAGACCACACCGTACCATAAAATATGAAACAACATTTGTACAAGAATTAGCCAAGTGTGACTGTGAATATGGGAGATAGTAATTGAAAGACAGGGTTTAATTTAAGAATGGTAAATCGTATAATAATAAGAGGGACATGAATATGAATAGTTTGGTTACGTAACAATTATACGATAAAAAAATATACGTATAGCATTGGTCCATAAATAGATTCCAAAAGTTACCACTCATTATACTTATCGGGACATAACAGTATTCTAATTTCACTTGATTTTGTGAGGTTAACTATTCTCTTTTGTAAAGTATTTATATCAATGAAAATAGTTAAGATGGATTTACTTGGTAAATGTCGTAATTTAATAATACAGTCTATTATTATTATTATTATTATTATTATAGCTGAACGTTTCTGCAGAAAATCATCGTCCACGTTATTATTCATTTAATCAACAACAAAATAATCCTGAACAAAATCTTAACAACAATGAATTAAAACATTATCCAATTGAATCAGATCAAAATGCTTTGAATTTAAATTCTATAATTATAAATAAGAAATCTCATTTATCATCTGTTCATGATATATCAACTATAAAACCGATAGAAAATAATAGTAATAAACATATTACTGAAATGAAACAAAATAACATTAATTCAATGAATGATTATCATGGATTATCATCATTGGATAAAGATATACATCTTCACACTGATCATAACAATAGTAATAATAATAATAATAATATTAATAATAATGATAAATTAAAATTAAATAATTATACTATAGGATCTATCACACAAATACATTATGATGGTTGTGAAACAATGGTGAATGATCCACCAAAACGTGAAGCCAAACAAAACAGTATTATAACAATGTGAGTTTCTTGGTTATTATGTTTTCTGTATTAGTCAATTCATGTTGATATAATCCATACTGAAAAACAATTGTTCTGATAGTTAGACTTAAACTTTTGATTTATTTAAGAAAACTCAAACTCATTCATTATATCGATAAACTTTTTATTATTGTCGATCTTATTGGATGTATGTAGTAAATGATATTTCATTTAGATGTTTCTATTATACGCTTTAAAGTTTGTGCATTATTATGATAAACATAAGTAAATTTCAAACAGACGAATCTAATTAAGATGGAAACACTCATGAAATTAAGTAGCCTGGTTTTGTGTTAAAATAATAATAAACAAGGAAATTAATGAGATGGTAGAGAAGATTTGAAAGCTCAGGTGGATGATTTTGGTGGAGTTTTGTTTTGGAACTTCAGGTAAAAGTAGACAATTTATTGCTGCCTGAAGTTTGTGCTAATGATGTCATTCAGAAGAACGATGAAAGCTTCACGACCACACCATTCAGCTCAGAGAACAAAACTGCATGAAAAAAAATTAATAAAATATTGAGAAAAAAAGAACCGAAAAACTATACAGAAAGATGGGAAGTAAGGGACTTGATCATCCAATATGAATATCCAATATTTAAAAAATATCTAAACCATAGACTAGTTTTGAACCATGTTTTCCAAATATTCCTGTTTTGATTTTAAATCTTTTAGGAATTCTAACTGACAGAATTACAGCTTTTAAAATTGTTTAATCTGGTAGTCAGGTTTTGTGTGGTTCAGTGCCTTGTTTTGATATGATCATCTTTACTATTTCTTAAATGTCTATCGATTCTAATTTGTATCACTTTAAATACTTAACAGGAGTTTAGTTTCCAAATATATTTCTAATAGAAACCAAAGATTTTTAGATGTATATTGACGATGTGCAGAACGGAAAATCAATGTTCTAAATACTTTGTGAATAAAATCACCTGTAACTGATCAAAAAAAGCTTAGTATTGAATCGAGGTAATAATGTTGTTTGAGATAATCGATTTACCTAACATACGAAATTAATGAGATATAATTATCTTAATAAATGAGTAATTAACACTGTAATATTTATTCTTCAACTATATTATTACCAGAAAACAACGTTTAAAATAAACATTAACATCATATGTTTGAAGTTTACGATTATCCATGTATCTATTAGTGTCTGAAAACGTAATGTTGACAAAGATTGTAGTTATTATTCAGAGTGAAATTCAACAGATATTCATTAATGATAAACTGGTTATCTACAAGATTTTCAGAAGTATAATTCATAAGTGTATAATATCATTAGCACAATCCCTTTAGCATAAGACATGAATGGCATCTAAACTCCACTTTGGGATCCCATAATGCTTGTGCCATTGGGAGCTCTTTGATAAACACAGTTTCAAAGGTCAATTATCTTGGTATTACCTTTTGCTCTGATTTCTCTTGATCTTCTCACGTTTTATTGTTATCGAAGAACGTTTTCCGTCTGACTTACTACATAAAGAGACTGCATGCTCTTGGGATTACTCGTAATTTACTCTTACAATTTGTCAATTCTTGCATATTACCTATTATTCTTTACTGTTCTCCATTATTCTTTCCCGGGATTTTGAGAAAAGACTTTGCTGTATTGCGGAGAGTGCTGAAGGCAAGGTGAGTGATAAATCGTTAAAGGTCATTTTTTAATATGGTTGTGGATAGACATCTAAAGTATTGCAAACTACTGGCAGCTGTTATCTTATCAGATGCTAACCATCCCCTTCACTCATATCTTTCTCCTTGTATATCTTCTGGTGGAACGAGACGTAATTACATTAAAATCCATGAACGCAAGCAAAAATATAAAAGTTCTATAATACTTTACCTAGCGAATATGCTCTTTGACGAAGAGGCTGTTAGAGTTAACCTGGTCAATAACCTGCATTCCTAACATGTCTTTAATTTGGAAAGTTGTACAGTTTTTCAGATTTCTTTTTTTGACACCTTTTCCTTTTTTTGTCTTTATTTTTTATTTTTTTCGTAAGAGGAACTTGTTGAAATACCTTGTGCTGAGAATTCTATAATATACCAAAATATAATATTCAACAAAGATATTAATAATAATCTTCCATCCGTACTTAATTTGTCACTTACTATAAACAGATGATAGTTCATTACGTCCGAACTAATAATGATTTATTTGCTTATCTTGTTTTTTTCCTTATTGTTGAAAGTCATTTTGAGGTACAATTATTTTGACAAGTAATATTTGTCTTATATTATCTCTGTTGAGTTTTAACACCGTCAACAAATATTCTATTCTTTCATAAATTAAATTTTACGCTTTTTAATCTGATTATTTTAACAAACCTAAGACAGTATCATGTCCAAGGCACTCTGAGTATATAAGTATACATAAATTGTTGGTGAGATCCAGAATATTCTTCGAGAAAAGCCCAAAGCGGCCCTCAAAACACTTGGAAACATTTTATCCAATGAGCATTGAATAGAAGTTTCTAAGAAACATCTAAAAGGTGGAGATTCATGTGTCACATTTGTGATTAGATGATTATCTATCCTACTATTATGTTTAGTAAGGTTCTAAAACTTTACAAAAGCCCAAGGCCATCTGAAATGCTATAAATAATCTCAATTTTCTGTGCATAAACTAACTTTGGAGTAAAGACTTCTTCTCTTATTTCGACCCTTTTCTCTTGTGTTCCAGTTGTTGTGTAGATTTAGCTTGGGGTTATTGAAAGAGATTAAGAAACCGATTTAAGCGTTCAGTCAGAGAATTTATCAAAATAAACACACATACATATATATTGTATTACTTTAAATTCATGCATGCATTTATAGTAAATATCCAAACATAGGTGAAAATTACACTTCGTTATTAACATTAACGTATCATATACATATTTTCATCATACGGTTTAATGAAATAAACATGACTGGTGAAACATACGTATCAATAATTTCTTTTACAGTTAAATTGCTTGATAAGATTGATTATTACTAACTATAAAATAATCGACAGTAAAAACTATGTTGTTAACATAATTAAAGTTTTCAACTATTTCGATGGAATATATTATTATCATAGAAAACATTACTTACTTACTCATTTTACTCCTCGTGGAGGAGCATAGGCCGCCCACCAGCACTCTCCATCCAACCCTGTCCTGGACAATACTTCCCAGCTCTTTCCAATTGTTATTCATCTTTTTCATATCTGCTTCTATTTCCTGACATTACATGGTGAGTAAATAGGTTTTATAGACGAGTAAAAAGCGGATAAATGAAAAGAAATTTAATTTACAACATATCAGTCTATGTCAAAGAAACATAAAGATCATAACATTTAAATAAACTATTTACCAAATTTGTACATTCAGAAGAGCTAGATGACAGTTAGCAGTGGAGTGTAGAATGAGTGTTTCATCTTGTTTGGATGTACTTTCATCCAAGCTGATGTTTACTCAGGAACTGAAAACTAGTACTATTCTCTCCAAACACCGAACGCGTTATCCACTCAACTGCTCAGTTCATTTTTTCCACTAACTTATACAATAGGGTGAATGTTAATTCATCTGTATTGGTTGTTTGAATTTTTTCATTAATATTTTGGACTTGAAGTGATCACTCTCTTTGGGCATTTGTGCATCCTGTGCAGATTACCTCAAAATTACCACTAAGTCACAAGGATTATAATCAGAGTTGAATTGTGGCGAGTAGGGAATACCAAAATGCTCGTTTCTTTTTATTTAGGATTCATTATTTGGATGTGGATGCATTCCAGTGTGAATTGTTTATTTCTAAATGATTAACAATTATCACATCTTAACCCTACTATTAAAATGAAGTACTTAGTTACTTGTTGTGTGACATTTTTAATACTTTTCTAAGTTCTGATCTTTATAATTTATGATTATTTTAGAAATTAAAAGCATTTTTGACCAAGCATAAATCTACATCTGTCCAGGTAATTGCATTTCATAGTGGTGCAGTGAGTTTGACAGAAAAATACTGACTTATTTAAATTTCAATATTTGTAAAATGATCTTACGAATACCACTGAATACATATTTCACAAAAACAACTGAAAATAGATTAGACGCCAATAGAAGAAAACAGGACCAGTACTCACAAAATGAAAAAGAATGAATGTATCCGTTCAACTACAATAAATTTCTGGCCATATTAATTAAAGTCTTGAACCAAAGACTGTGATAGTTACCTGGGTCACAATATATAAGTGTGTATACTTCGAGACGGCTAAGGACTGGAATAAAGTGCTATTGCAATATCATAGCGATCGTAATATCATAGTGTGGATGCAGATAGCTGTTCATTTACATGTTCCGATCACTCGACTCGACGAACTTTCTAAACATCATAACTTTTCTATACATTTCTAATAAAAATCCAAAGTTGAACTTCAGTATTTCTAACTTAGCACTTACGTCAATATAAACATCACTTCAAAAATATCTATGATTGCATGGAAACAACTTCAGCAAGTTTGATATGTCCATAAGCTACATTTTGGATTTATGGCGTAATGCAAGCCATGCTGATACTCGCCCCATAGTAAGCAACTTGAAAAGTCGTATAAATGATACACAGATATCAATGAAAACAATCCTCAGTAATTAAACACGAATGTATTGAATGTTTCGACTGGTAACAGAAGATCTCTTATCTCTTTGTATGACATTTGCCACAAAGTGTAACATCTAACTAATATCATTTGTGATTTGTGAATAATCCTGATGTAAATCCATTTCCACTATTAACTAGATCTGTTACTTTCTTTTGAAGTCTTATGTGTTTAGTGAAAGCTTACAATGGAATCAAAAAGGGTTTGTGTTGCTTAGACTTGATTCGCTGTTTACCCTGAGACTATATTGCTATTACTAAATGATTCATGCATGATGGTCATTGGTCAAGAATATTTTAAGTTTATTTAATTACATAACCATTAGAATAATTGTACTTTAACATGTCAAA